CTATATATATATCTATATATATAGATATCTATATCTCATACATATAAACCACTCTGTATACACACAGACAGAGAAATAAATGCACATGTATCAATAAAGAGGATCTTTTTAAAAGTCAAAAACACTGTTTGGGAAAGATCTGGTGTGCCTTTTCATGAAGCTTCCACAACATCTGCTTCAGAGGAACAATTAAAAACTATTCCTCAAAGCATATAATGACAGTTTTCCCCAGACTCGCACTGGCACTACCACTGTGTCACAATCCTCAGTTCCTTCAGCCCAGAAATAAGAAAGCTGGGAGCCCTTCTGAATCCTGTTTCTAACCTCTCTCAACCTACAATGGCCTCTAGGAACACATTAAAAGAGAAACAGATTGCTCTGTCTATCCATTATGGGAAGTAAGCAAACATACTTTCAAGAATAAAACAGCACACAAACAACAAATCAGTATTGGAAAAATCAAAGAGCAGCCAAAGCAGATTCTCAATTTAAGGAAGCTATGAAAGCTTTTTCTTAAGTTCTTGGTCTGTTGGATAGAAATAATTGAGCCCTCCTCCCTCAAACTGAAAAGCCTCATCATTCCACAAAAATTTTGAGACATCCACAGTCTCAAAACTCACATCCACAGAAAGCTATATTTTGACAGACATTGATGGCAGGAGCAAAGATGAAATGTTCTTCAAATGCAGACAAAAAAAATATGTCTTTTTATTTTTAAGTTCACAATGTATTTATTTCTTCTCGCTGCCTTCCTAACTTCCTCCCACCAAGCTAAGTTGTGTCATCAGGCAAAAACAAAATATTCACACCAGCTAAGATTTTCAGTTGTGAAAAAATTCTGATACAGTGATAGTCCTTCTGATAAAAATAGAAAGCATGACACTTAAAAGTGAAATATCTATGGAGAAATACAGCTAAAAAATATTCTAAATGCTACAGACCCAAAACACTGGGCAACAAGTAGGGTAACTGGTACAAGTTTGACCCCTTGACAACTATCTGAATTGCACAGCTAAGTTCTGAAAATCTTCTTTTCATACATACATATATATACATGTATATAGCTACTTATAAAGTGTTATTTTTATTTCTGTATCTATCTGTTAATCAAACTTAGAAGCAATGCAAGCCTTTTAAGCAGTTATTAAAATCGTGCATTTCTAGGTTTAAACATACTTAAAACCTGTCATGTATGCACAACTCTGTACTAAAAGGCCTTGTATTCCACAAAAAGAAGAATTAAATAAAAAGAGTTTTAAAAAGGCTTCACATAGTAATATTAAATTAATACACGGTGCATATTCTGAACAAGATTACAATACAAACTAGATAGCTTAATTACCACCTCAAGTGATTACAGACATCCATGAGGGAAAGAGAAAATCCACAGAAGCTTTTTGATTCCTACCTACTGTCCATGTTCCATTAGAACCGTGTTAATATAAGCTCTCCTTCAAATATATATGTGTATCCCAAGGAGACTAGAAAGAGTGGACATCCTGTTATAAACTCCAGCATGTCCTCACACATATCCCAAGTGGTAGACTCAGAGCCAGGAGGAGACAAAAAGCCTCCATCCTCACACCAGCCAATTCCCAAGTGTGTCTGTGCACTAACCCTCGTGCTGCTGAGTAAACTGTGAATGTCTTAAAACCTTAAGGGGCTGGGGCAGGGTGGGAGAAAAATATTCCAGCAGAATTTTGTTCTAGCGTCATCCTGACACAAGACAAAATTGCCATGCTGAGCTGAACTAAATGAAAACTTTTTTAAAATTACAAGCATAAATAGTTTAGCTGTCTTTTTGGTGAGTTCAATGGAATGCACACTGAGAATGTTTACTTGAGATTTGATACAATTACATTTGTGTACAGCTTTTACATCTGTTGCTAATGATATCAAATTATTGATTATTCACTTTCTTATATTTATTTAAACATTAACTATACACTCAGCAACTTGATGCTTTTCTTTTTTTTCTTTTTTTTTTCTTATTTTCCAGAGAACTTTTTATTTTTGCCTGGCTTCGGTTGTAATTACTTTGATCTTCCAGAGAGTATAATTAATTTACTGTTTATTTATTTCTATGAGAAAGGAAAAAAGTTTGACCTAGGAGATCTATATGTGGCAATTTGTAACAGAATCACATAGCTTATGTTTAGGAAATCATGGTTTTGATTAAGAAGCAACCATTTAGTTCCCACTGTTTTATTAAAACAGACATTAGCAGATAATAGGAAACACATTTAACACTGTAGGCTGCATTTAGTTTGCAACGTCAATAACGTTATTTTGAAGCCCCTTCCTATTTGGTATTTACCACAGCTCATGTGAATTGTTTTTTGTTTTTACTTTCTAATAACCAGCTCTAGAGTTACACAAGGATATGGGTGCTGGTTCCAAAGACACCAAATTATAGTTTTACCCAATCTATCCAGATACAACCCAAAAAACAGACTGCTGCATCATCCATTCACCTTCATGGAAGTCCTTTTTAAAAATTATTATTAAAGGAATATATGATGACTGAAGCATGTCAACTCAAGTCACTGATTTTGCACACTTACTGAGCTGTCCTGCAGGAATATCTGGCTACAGAAAAGAAACAAAACATCATGAAAACAGAGATTATGAGAAATTGAAACCACCCGAAGAAGTGCAAAAGTCTTCCTGTTTGCAAGGTGTTTAGATTACTGCTCTGAAGTTGCATGACTGTTTATTCTCCATGCACCACTGTACCTGCCACAGACTCTTTGTTTTCTCTCCCACTCATATGGTTGATGAATCAACACTACTTGAACTGCTTTATAGCAGCTTGTGTTTACTTCACACATACCTTAACCTTCCTTTTTCTCCTCCTACTAACACACACATACACTTCCAAACAGCAACGCCTGGCTGTGTCTCTGAATAGCACAGATACAGAGTTATCTCGAAAACTCTTCAGGTTTGGATCCTTGACCTTTTGATTGAGGTTTCATTCTGCTTTTACTGCACTTAACAATTTAACTGTGCACTTACTAAGTAAAAAAAAAGTAAGAGCATAAAGAATTCAATGCTCTAAGAATGAAAGAAAGTGGAAGACAGCACTGTGCTAGAAACACTCAGAAGCTGTAGTAGCATCTCCGCAGTTAAGAACACTACAGTTAAGGGCTTCCAGTGCCTCTGCAACTGGCACCCTTGCCCAGTTTTGAAAAAAAAAAAAAAAAAGAAAAAAGGGAAAGAAAAGCCCATTTCTGTTCTTCCAGCACAGCAAGTAAAAGTGAATGGTGATGACCTCGAAGTTGTTTGATTCCTTTGACTGTTTTTTAACCAAGAGGATATGTTAAAACACTTGGAATAAATTCTTTTATTAAGAGACACCATTTAGAGAAAAGAAACACTTCTGAGTCACACAATGGCAATTTAGAGAGAAAAGAAACTATCCAGTTTATTTGGCATGAGGGTAACCACACACTAAAATATCCAATCAACATTTTTACTTCTAGTCTAAACCTTTTAGGAGGTGAAAAACAACATCTCCATTTCCTTGCCTGCATTGTTACTCCACTTCTGCCTGAACAAACTTCCTTCTAGACACAAATAATTTTTCCACAGAACATTCCTTTTTTGTTCCCCCTAGTGAAAATCTAATCACTGCACAGCCCAGGCATGAGCATCTTACAGGTATGCTCTGCACAAGCCAGATGTGCAGAGGAAAACCAGATGCCTCAGAACTTGTTCTGATGTTTTATGCAATTTTGTTTCATGTGTTCCTAACTCAAGCAGCAGACTCTTTATGGTATTATTATGCAGATTTCTAGTCTGTCCTAAGGAAACTAAACAAGTAACCCTTCATAGCTCATGTATGTCAGCCTTTTAAGAGAAAAGACAGCAGACTCTTTTTGAAAGATGCTGATCTTCACGCAACTAAAAATACAATGGTTTCTCAAGAAGGACATGACATTACCCCATTTCTGCATAATGTTTGTGAATTCTGTTATGATTTTCCTGGCTACTGAAAGCATCACAGACAGAAACAACAACAACTGTCTATGCCTTCTTTCAGACAATGAATCTTCCCTTCAGCGGTGTAACAGAGAGAAAAACTGTGAAAAAACCTATCACAAGATATAGCTAATTTCCAAGGCTGATGGACACTTAGGGAGAGAGGAGCCAGTTGGAATTATGGAAAAGCTTCTGACTATCCTCAAACTCCTGTTCAAAGCACATGAGTGTTTAGAAAAAATCCTACTAAAATAAATAGTCCAGTGCACACCTAAGTCCCTTCCCAAAGGAAAGAAAGAATAAAAGAACAAACTACACATGACAGAAACTTGTCACATCATTTCGTACACTATTAGAAGGTGATCAGAGAGTTCAGTGGTGAGAATGGGATGAACTTAGAACAATTTTGCTGCCCAGGCATTTGCTATTAAACAACTAATACAATCTCACTGTAGAAAAAAAAACAAACAATGGGCCATTTTTATCTTAACTTCAGTGGGTGCAGCACCTTGTTATTTAGAGGTGTCTCCTAACAATCAGGTATTAAACTCTCCACTGGTAATCCAGATTCCACATGATAAAACATGGCAGGAAGGCCAGTACACTTTGCAGTGTTGAAAACAGAGAACAAGGGCACACGTACCTTAGAAAGTCAGTTTTTTAACTTTCAGGAATCACACGCAATTAAGGTAACTTACATCCCAATTTAACTTTTAAATCCTGAGATACTAGAACTTTTTTTTTTGCCAAAATGTTTTAGCTTAATTCAAAACACAGTTTGTCTTTCAGCACAGCTAAATAGGATATTTTAAGCACGTTTTAAGTGGCCTGTGTTTTCATGCCAGGCTTGTTTGTAAACTATCAGATTTAATTTCAAATGTGCTGTGACTGTGCCCGCTTTGTAGACAAATTCACTAATATTATTATAGCTTATTATCACTTTCACTTAAAGCACATAATCTCAAACAGTCAGAAGAAGTTCAAGAACTTGGAGAGTAACAAAAAATTCAATTTACCTTTAATCTTCTTGTACTTTTTGTACCATCTTCCAAACTCCTGGCACTTGGTTGCTGACACATTGGCATAGTATGTACTATTTACAATGGATGAAATCATACTCTGGAAGTACAGAAAAAAAAAACAAAAAGTGATTTAAAATATCTTCCACAATTAGAAATCTTTTCCAGGGAAAGTGAATGACATGAAAGTGCACAATGATTACCCATTTGTGACTTCAAAACCAAAATAACAGTTTGGTAAGTAAAAAAAAAATTGGTTTTATTCTCTGTTCTATATTCCAAGCCATAAATAAAATTACAAAATAATAGTTATTATTTTGCATTATGTAAAAATTATGGGAAAATTAGTACGGACCTAGACTGAGACCTGCAGCTCAGGCTGGGGGAGGGAAGTTCTATTTTACTTTGTACTTGTGATATTAGAATATCTAAACTTTAGTTGCATAATAACAGGCAGTGCCATGCTGGGGAACACATGCTCACTGCACCCGGGTGAGAACAAGCGTGATTTAGGAACCAGATCCTAAAGGTAAGATTAGATGCTCCAGCATGCATAATCCCAATAATGCTTTTCAGATGTCTCTGTTCTGCTTCCAAATGCAGCAAGACCACATAGCCAAGAACTGGAGAACATCCGTGCTACTCGCTGCAGAACAACAGTTAGGCAAATAAGTTAAATTAATATAATTTATAGAAACGTGTGATTAGCCCTCATGTGAAAAATCACCCAGAAGAGAAATTAGCAGTGCCATTCAGAGTGAAGGGAACTACACATATTACAACATAGAGTAGTCAAAATCCACAAAGAAGTTCAACAAAAATGAAGTATCACTTGCCTAACCAGCACTCCTCCCTCCTCTGCAAATTCCCCTAAGCGACTCAGTACAAGCAACTGAAGCAGAGAGGTGCAGACTGGTTTTGCAGAACCCAGTGCCAATAAAAAGCATATTTTATATCTGGGATGCTTCTGCCCATCAGTGGCAAACAGCCTGATGACTAGTAATTCTTCCTTTCTCTTTTTTCCCTCCCTTCATCCATGCTATAGAGGAGGCATCTTTTTGACAACATTTTGCTCTCCTTTTCCCCCCCTCTGAACTCTTCCAGGGTTAAATCATTCCCAGCACAAGTATGCTGCCAGCAAGGAAATGCAATCTAACACCACTAACACATAGCAGCCAATGCACCTTCCCCAGAAAACACATTTTCCTTATGCCCTCCTTCCTCACGTCAAAGCTCAGAAAAAGCCCTGGCACATTGCATGACCTTTCTGCTTGGAGATGAAAGAGCAAGGATGATCTCACAGCTCCAACAAGCTATTTACCATAGGTTCAACCTCTGGCCCATGGGCTGCTGGAGGCTCCTGTGCAAAATGGGATCTTGGCCATCTCTGGAAAGCTACAAGGCTTACACATTGGCTTACAATTTTAACAATGCTCTAAAAGCAAAAACATCCCTGCCCTCTTCCAGATTTATCCAGCCTTCTGCCCAATTCAGTGCAATATCACAGGACTCTGGCTCTTCCTAACTCCTGAGTTTTAAAGACTTAAAAATGTAAACAAACTGAGAGACTGTAGATAACTGGATAGTACATTTTACTTTCAGTCTTCAACAGGTAATTTCGCTTTCAGTAAAGAGGCTCTTTCGGCTTTTCACTTTTAACTTTTCCACTCAAAGAGTGCTATGGTGCACTACAGTAAAGTCTGAAGGCTATGAAGTAAGAGCCTTGTTAAGTAGCAGCTTCAATTTCTAAAACTGAGGCTCAATTTTCTAATTAAAATCAATATTTTGAGACATAAACCTAGCATTGTGGCAGTCAGCAGCAATTCCCTGCCCATAAATCCTCCCTTGCTCTACAGCATTTTAACAAGCAGTAGAATTCTGAAAGCCTGACATGGTGATAGCCTCTGCTGAGGAAGGATTTTGAACAAAGTAGAGCTTGAGATAATGTGGGTTTTTTTAACAACACTTTAGTTAGACTTCCAGTCACTAAGGAAGGGTGAGGAAATTGTTTAACTCTGTCTACATATCAGTTTGGGGTTTCCTGGGTTTTTTTCTTTCCCTCAAATCCTCTGGTTCTACAAGAAATCAACATTCCTGACATAGTGGGCCTATTAAATATCACAGATTATATTAACCCATTAACCTTTATTTGAGAAAGCAAAGCTTAAACTAAATAGTAAAATCAAACAGTAAATCAACCATTGGTGAAAAATCCCAGAACAGATTCTCTTCAACTACTTGAAAGCGGAGCAGCAAAAGAACCATAACAACTTTCAAACCACATATCCTCACTATTAAAGGCAAAGCAACCCTAGGGGTATTTCTGCTAGAAATCTTGATAAGTCTGCATAAAGGAAATATCCATTTAGAAGAGAATGGCAAAAAACACCACTGACTAATTGCAAATTTCTAAATAATGCACATTATACCTGGGAAAATCCTTAAGGAAGAAACCGATTCTATTAAACAGCAGATACACTAGGTATGTGTGTGGCCATGACAGCCATGTGGAATGAAAACTGCTTAGACCAGGAGCTAAGAAATATCCACACAAAGAAAATCCAGTGCAGTAAGTTCAAGGAGAAAAACACGGGACGTGCTCACATCCCAAGAAAGCTTGCTCCAGCAGAGACAAAATGCATGGTCAGCGCTGAAATGAGTTATATGATACACAGGAAAGACAGAAATCTCCATGAAAAGATGGAAATGCTGAAATAATTGGATTTCTTTCTGCCACACGCACTCCCCCCACTGAACCCTCCTTCCCCCCAGCTTGGTTAACTGGGATTTATTTGTTTGAACAGGAGCTGTATGCTACGGGTAGCTAAACTGCAGACATGTAATACACCTATCAGAAAAAAACAGAACAATTTTAAATCAAAGTGAATGATTACATTTCCCATTAGCAGCAATCAGAATCCTCATCTGGGCTTCATGGAGAGCTTGGGCACCGAGAACCAGAGACAGAGCACCATCACTGGTGGGAGTGGGGGCTCCCCATGCTGCCCCTCTCCACTTCTGTACCTGAGACACTGTGAACACATTAATAAACAGCAGCATTTACTCTGCAGTTTGACTCCTAAGAGACCACTCTGCAATTTGCTGCTGTCAATAATATATTAACCACAAGGGGGTTGTAATGACATTTCACATTTGGCACGATATTTTTTTAAAACTGATTTGGGAGAAGTAATTGTATTAGAGGCATATTCAGATGATGGTAATAGACAGATCCTATACAACCTTCCATTGTATATTCCGCATTTTGTGAGCCAAACCAAAAGAGACTGAAACTTCTTATGGCAATAATAATAATAATAATAATAGTAATAATATTAGCTGCATTCTGCAGTCTCAGTTCAAGGGTTAGTCACTACCCAAGGTCACTTAGATCTGTGCTTAAAAGAAAGCAAGCTCAATTTTCTACAGAAGGATCTCCTTTTAGTTTTGTCCGCTAAATAAATAATTGGGCAAGGATTTTTTGCTGCTACAGTTCTGCCATCAGTAATTTTGTAAATACCTTTCAGACTGAGGCTATAGAAGGAGTAAATCAACTGCAGCATTTCCACCTGGTAGGTTTTGAAACTGAAGTGGGAGGAAAAGGACCGAGACAACAAATGAATTCTGCATATGAAATGATGCATAGTTTAGTTATATGGGATACTCAGGAAGACTGGGCAGAGACAACCATATGCTGCAATCATCATTAGCTCACCAGATTCCACAGATAATTCTATTTCAAGAAATTAAACTTAAACTATGTGAAAAAAAACACAAACCTTTCATATTCAATGCGTATTCAATGGTCTGTGCATATCTGGAGTCGGTTAACTCCTTTGGTAAATAAGGCAAGTTACATGGCTTTTCCTTATACAGCCTTTCCATCCCTGTTAGTTCTGCAGATCCCACATGGCTAAGGAAGATGAGGAACGTAATTCCTGTCAATTGCAGAGATCTAAATTCTGCTCTCTATCTCACCTCTACACTTTCCCCGGAGTTGTAACCATAACACAGCAAGGCAAATTTGTGGTGAATAAAAGGAATTCTCTTGGTTCATGCAGACTTTGAATCATGAATCACAGGATGAACACAGAGTGCAGTGAAAGACAGGCAACCACGGGAGGAAAAACGTTGGATGCAGTTTAGCAAAGCAACAGATTTTTAGCAAGCAGGGATTACTGATGTTTTGACTTTTGAAAGATACAATCAACAGATCAACCTATGATTCTAATACAGGTTTTTGAAGGCAATGTATTTTTCACACCTAGCAAAGTTACCTGGTCTGGGTGCTGAAGTGTTATTCTGTTTTTTCTGAGAGGCAAGGAGGACTCGGTCATGAAAATTTTATGAATCTCTCATTATGACAATCTGAAGTACAAATAGAGCTCATGACATCTGTAAGAACCTGTGTCTTAGTGTCTTAGACATGACATCACTGCTGATTATAAAGCAGTCATGGAGAATGAGACTGAGTTTTTGTTCTTTTTTTAACAGAATTACATATACATTTTTTTGTTGCTGTTTCCTAGAAATTGGGGCACAACTGTTAAAACTGCATACTTTTTGTCGTGGTTGGAGGCTGATGAGAGCTACCTATGGGTTAGTGGGGAAGGCAAGCCTCTGCTAGTGGGAAGAAGCCACTCAAATCTTGCACTTGAGGATCATTAGCCCTATTACAAAAGGTTCAGATAAAAATCTAAATAAAGAATTTACATCTCTCTGAAAACCAACCAATTCATTCACGATTTTCACCTGGCAACCCACTGAGAAAACATGGTATAAAGATACTCTTTATCATATTAATTAGAATTTCTCCTTTCTAAAAAACACAAGGAATTTATTTGGTACTTATGAAACTGTTTAGTCTAGGCTCTTTACTGAACAAATATGAGCTTCAGTTCTTGCAAGTTTTTCTTTTCCTAAGCCTGTTAAAAGCACTGACCTGTGAGAGAGGGCATTCTTTGGCTAATGTGCTCTGATTCATCTCTTTGAGCAGTTCCTTTAAGGCATTGCGAACTGTGGCATGGTTCCACTGCTCTGCTGGCAAGTCTTCCAACTTTGAACAACTGTTAAAACAGAAAGCAAAAGTAGATAGAGACATCACCTTCACAGATGCTTACTTTTTGCATACAAGCGCTATGGAACTTTAAGCAACAAACACAACCTTGGAATTTCCTGCTTGGCCAACCCATCAAGGTGTTTCTCCCCTCTATCACCTTCCCATCAAGCATGGCTACCCGAAGATGTGCAGTTCAACATACAGCTAATCTTCCTATGGTATTATATGTGTGTATAAGCATTCCCTCTGGGGCCTGACGGAGAGCAAAGAAACTGCATAAAGCAAGCCCCAGAAATGGCTGGATAAAGCCATACTGTCCAGACAAAGGTACTCCTGCTGGGATAGAAAAATAAACATATATGCTGCACTGCCACTAACAAAATCCCTAAACAGTAAGGGCCCTCACTGTATGGAAGCGAGACTTCGAAAAATTAGTTTAATTTCATACAGGTTCTTATACTGCCCTTATCACTGAAGTATCCAAGAGCCTTTCAGGAACACATAAACCATATGTCCAACATCTGTCACGTGTAGTTGATTCTCACTTTCATTCTACAAGAACTGCATATGTAGTGAAGCTTTTGTCTTTGTGAGACTTGTGCCTCTTTTAATTTAACAAGCTTATGGTTTGTGTCTACATGCACAGGGACAGACCCGAGAAGCACATCAAAAAGCTGGGAGAAGGTTGTCACTGCCATTTCTACCAAAGAGAATTAATAGATGTTCTCCAATCAACCTCTGAGGGGGTTTTGCCTTCTGCCCTTACAGCCTGGTTTGTCCCTCAGAGCTGGATGTTCAGTTGTGCTTGAGGAGTTCAAGTAGTCAGTGATCATCTTTATCTCAAAGTCATGGGCTATCTTTTACTTACATTGCATCCAGGCATTCAGGCATTTTGAAGAAAAAGAATGAGACCCTAATCTTGGATTGATACCCTTTGCTAATACAGATGTGACAATAGGCTAGATGAACTGCTGGTAGCTCACACTTCTGACAAAATGCTTTACTGCAGTCCAGTTTCATAGCAGCTATAGAGTCTAGATGCTCTTTTACAACTATGTAGCAGAGATGCAGTCTAGCTGAAAAATGACAACGGTATATAAAACTGAGGAAAGACCTGTTCATGGGAATTGAAAACCTCAAGCACCATCAGAGATATAACAGGAAAGAAATGTTCTTGTCTGGGAGTTTAATGTCAGTGAGGCACCAACTGCTTGCAAATTCTAAATTGAATTGAACAGTTGGAGGGCATGTACCTGCCACCAAAAGGACACACACATGTCCCTGTGGACCCCTCTTCTGTTCAAGCCAGACCTTCAAAGAACTGTTGGCAATTTATTCCAGACTTATTTTTTACTCTTTCCTCTGGCATGTCCTGGCCATACAGCTCCAGCAGGCTGTACAATGTAGGCTTACCAGCATGACCAGAGTATGCCATGCACTGTAAGGGACCTGTCACACCTCCTTACATCAGTAACTATTTGAGAACTCTTCTGAAGGCCAACAGAAAGAAAGGAGAAGAAGAAAGGGGGGGTGGGGGGAAAGCAGGAGGAAGGGAGGGCAAATAAGTGTAAAAGTGGAGTGAGCTTTTGCTTTGCTAATCAGCACTAGTATTCAGGGAAGGAAAATATTTGCCAAATGCCAAATGCAGCTGCAGTGACATTTTCTGTCCTTGTCTTCTTTTTGCTGGGAAGACCACTGGAGAAAAAAAAGAAAAGTTCAAAAAAGCTCCCCTCCTCCCCATCTCAGCAACTGGCAGTAGAAGACTTGGATTCTCACAAAGTAGCCCCTAGAAAAAGGCAAGGAGTTTATTATTTGATACAATTAGACCTTAAGAATCCATTAAATTAGGGACTGTCGAAAGGTCTGCCTTTAAAAGCCCCATAAACTTGATTGAGTTTCTGCCCTTCCCCTCTCTGCTACCATATTGCTACTTCAGAACACATACAATATCAGTTGGAACATGCACCAAAAAGCTGCCAGGTGACCCACCCTTCTCTTCATTTTCTTTTCATTTCATCAAAAGACCCGAAATTAATGAAGACAGGATGTGCTAATCTCTGTAGTAATGCTGTAACCGACAGAGCAGCTCAGAGAATAGAGAAGGACAGATGTTCAGAAACACCCACCTTTGTAATTGGATTTTCAATGTCACAACATGATAGACATCTTGTAGCATGTCGGCTACTGTCGCATCTGGTGCATCAGTCACATAACTGAGAGGCAGGGGATTCCACCTCCCAAGCTTGATTATTCCTGAAAAGAAAACGAAAAATTCATACTTTATATTTTACCAGCCATTTGCTAAACCCTTTGATAACATTGCTTGTTCCCAAGATTCAAGATCTGCCTTGAGGTTTATTGCACTCTTGCCCAGAAAGATGTGTTCTGCTGAATCCTGAAACAAACAATGGAGAAGAGCAAGAATAGATTTTAAATTCTTAACAGACAGTGGCTGACATGGTCCTGGCTCTTAAATTACTTCAAGGAAGCACAGGAGACTTCCTCCCTTCATATCTTCCATCATCCCACTAGAGCCTAGTTCTCTAATTTAGAATAAGCTTTAAATACTCTCTAGCCCTGATTTTTCAGTCTAGAAAAACCTTTCAGTAAATAAATGCATTACTTCTGACTTGGACAGGAAAATTCCTATGTGTGGGCTTTCAGCACACAGTTACAATCTAAGCATGGTACAATTCCCAGTGGATGGATGCCACTGCAAACCCACCAAGTAGGAAGAGTTCACTCCCAGATACAAGTTGCACTGTGCAGACAGTTGCTTTTCTTTGTGAAAAAAAAACCCACCCAAAACCAAATGACTGTGAGCTGCTGACCGCAGATCTAAAATAGAATTTTGGAGGCGAGGGAGAATGCTGTAAGTTCTATTTCTACTTCTGCTCATTCTTTAATAGGGATCATCACCTCTTTTGGATGAGCTTGTCACAAAGACTGTAAACTTGGATGGTAAACCATTCGGTGCAGAGGTATTATTTCTGTTTAGACAATTGCAGAGGGCCCACCCACACCAAAAACAATGACTAACACCCAGGAATGACTTCCAGGAAGACACCAAACAAAGAAAGCCACAGTGCCATTTTACATGACAGCGAAGCAGTTCAACCTTGTTCTGCACTATTGCCACTACTGCTTTTATTCCCTCCTTCATCATGTTCCCATTGCCCTGCCGTTCTGCTCACTTAATTTTCCTCAGCTCAGCCCTACAAGACACCATTCTCCCACTTAAACTGATGCCTTTTGAGGTTTCCTTATATACTGTTGGATTTTGGAAAAGACATACATAAACTCAACTGCCAGAAAGACACTAACACACTAATACAGGAGAAAACTACTTCTTCTGCAATAACAGGTGCACCAAGAGCTCTTCTTGAGTATCTGGAAGGATGCTGTGATGCCAAGAAACTTCAGCTTTCTCCTCCTCACTTTCTACTCCCAGTTCTGCACCATCTCTGGAACTATCAAACCGAAATAAATGACAACAGCTTTTTATCCTGATCTCCCAAACACGATCATAAAATAAATACCACACTGAAACAATGAAACAAAGCTTCTTGCACAGAGACAATAACAGAACAAAATGAGCCCGTGAAGTACCTGCAGTGGAATATTTTTTCCCCATTCCTACGCAGATCGAAGAGGAAATAATTTTAGTACAACTCCTTTTCCATAGCACTTAAATCTTTGCATTTACCACTGATGTACTGCTTTGCAAGGCATTCTGTCAGCACATACTGAAAGAAGCTGGAAGTGACCTAGTTCATCCTCAGTGGTACAAAGTTTCACTGTAACATATTGGTACAGACAGGCTAATATTTCGAGAGCAGATTAGAAAGCTTTTGTCAAGGAGAGATATTGTCCAAATGAAACAAAAAGTTACTAAGTGTTGCTTGATATCCAATGCTTGAAAATGGGACATAAACAGAACAAAAACATTTAAATGATGCACTGTTTCAGTATTAAGATTTAACAATCTGGTGCTGAATATGCTGCAGTATAAATAGTGCCTGGACTCAGATCCAGTAGAGTAACACACAGCACTCATTCACAGCACCGTATGTCTCCATTGCTGGTTCCTTGAGTCATATTCCACTTGCCAAGAAAAGCTGTTTTTCTTAAGGGGATAGTTTACTTAATGTTATCTCTGGTGACAACAAGAAATGCATATAGTACAGCATATATTAGTCATGAAATGAGCATCAAGGGTCCACTGAGTGAAATACATGCTGGGAAAACACAGTTTAGCTGCTGACTTCCTTCACCCCCTTCTGCTATATAATAATTTAAAGCAAAATCACCTAAAAATCCAGAAATCTATACCGGTTTCACAGAACACTTGGCTTCCTATGTTTAACCACGCCAAGTTTTCATGTAATTGAAAAAATAAGCATCATATGTGCCCCATAAGTCACATCTAAATTGTTAATATTTTACAAGAGGCTTTATTTTTCATTCAATTAAGGAAAGCACTCAGAGAGCACACCATCTGCAACTGCTCAGGCCTGGCAACGCTGGCAAGGGACAAAGAGATGGCTGGGGGGGCACTGAAGCAACTAAAGGTGTCCCCAGACTAAAAAAGTTTAAAGAGAAAAACCCCAGCGCATCCAGAGCGCACCACGGGAAATACTACGCAAATTGCTTTACAGGAATGTCTGCTACTACTGGAAGGTAGGTAGTTTTGTTTTGTTTTTTTTTTTTTTCTTAATCCTCCTCTACAACTGGAGAGGAAATTGTTTTGGCTGGATTTAAGCAAACACAGGTGTTACCATAATGCTCGGTGCCTCTGCACGTTAACACCTGCTGCGAGTCCTTTACTCTGTGTTACAGCGCTGCTGATGTGCACTGTTTTTTCAGCCGGTGTGATGTGACGTGTGAAATATTTTTTCCAGAGCACATTAAGCTGGTCCAAACCATAGCCAGAAGCCATGGTTTCCATTCAGCTCCTCAGCAGACTTCACAGGTGCATATTTCATGGCACCAACACTGTACTTAAGGAAACTCTTGGGCTGTGATTGGGAAGATGATGCCAGCTTGTTGAGTAAATGTCTTCTCTGCATGCTAGAACACATCTCTGAATGACTCCTCAGCAAAAACTGAGTGGACCAAAATTTGCTCCCTAAAAAGGTCTCTTCTCATCCAGGTCTGAGTGTTTTCAGTATAACAGCAACTCCAGAATGAAAACAGCCTGGTAGAAAGAGGTTACTTTGACATATACATTTTTTATTGTTCCTCACATTGACTCCAAACAGTACAGCTCAGGACTTTAAAGAAACCACTTTAACTGGCCTGGTTGAGCTTTTGTCCTACCACAACTGAGACTTGGGAGTGGGGACAGGAACGAGCAAAGATCACTGTGTTATTAATGAATATACTACTGCTCTGGGAGTATCACTCTTCTGTCAGCTCCAGACCTTCTCAAAATTATGTGTGGATAATGCAGAGCAGATCAGACTGCTCAGGAAATCCAAAAACACATCTTCCCTGAGTTTCCAAAACTTGTCTGTTAATGAATTTCATTCTCTTTCCTGTATCAGTAGGGACTTTTTCCTGTGAGAGTTTTTTGAAGGGAAAGTTCAACAAATTTCAATGCTTGCACACACTCAAAAAATGGCCATACACTAGAACAGCTCCCAAGAACTCATCTAGAAGTGGCTCAATGCAGCCCAGGCCAGTTAGGCAATTAGAGACAATAAAGAGACCAGTTTTTTCAATAGATTTTTTTTTCAGAACTATTTTAGAAGAAATTTTTTATTGACACTGGCTGTTGGTTCTTGAACAGCATGTACTTCTGTAGTTAGGTCTTTTATTAAGTTTAAGCCTCAGTTTCATTAAAATGGAGGCAGGAAAAAAGGGTAGAGTAACTTAGTTTGAAATTTGCATAAGTCCCTTTACCCGCAAGAAGAGCAGTGGGCAAACTTCTACAAGTTCGAGTGTCAGGTTTGCATGTAACAACCACTGCAATTCACTGCTGTCATTCCACTTAGGCCAGTGATGTGGCACCCTGACAGGATGCTTTTAATTTAGTTTCATTCAAAATGCAGCTCCTTTGGAGAAGAAAGTGATAACTATGCAAGTGAGAGCAGAACAACACACTGAACAGAAGCCTTGACCTGCCTACAACATGGCTGATCTCTCTACTGAGTAGAACTCAGAGCTTTTTTACAGTATCACCTGAAAGAGTGATGCATCTAAAGCACTGGGATTATTCCTGGAACTTCATCCTAATGAGATGGGAACTGAATGGATGCAAGGCTGAGGCTAAAGAAGACTTCCAGAATAACTACTTTCATCAGGAGCATAAACATCAAAAGACAAAAAGCTGCTTTCTAGAAAAATACAGCTAAGCTGGCAATCCCTTTTCATTATTATGTAGCTTATACTGTCCCACAAAAATTATTTATCTATCTGGGCTAGAAGCCTCATTTGTCTTTGCAAACAGAAAGATAGCCACGCAGTACACTCATTCTAAGAATGCCACATCTGGAGTTTAGAACATATCATAATCTAGCTATGACACTTGGTCATAAACACAATGGGGGCTGGGTCCTGCATCTCCCAGTCACCTGCACAGGTAACTTTTAATCTGATAGCCCCATAGTAATTACTGAGGCACCTCAGGTATCCTTCAATGCATCACTGCTGTAAAATCAAACTGTTAAAATGGGGCATTTTCCAAATTCCTTTTTGCGGCTATAAAGAGCAAACAGGACGAGAACGTGCCTTATCCTGTCACTGGCTCCCTTCAAACTATTCCCTGCTCCCACCATGATTATACTCCTGATTTCACCTTTCACAAGTTATAAGCCTACCTGAGTTACATCTTAAATGGATACTTGTAGTATTAATGCAAATGCATACACAGGATTAATGCAATTTATTTAAAATGCTAATCTGCCAGGGTTAAAATTAAGTCATGGGATCAAATGAAGGACATTTTGGAAGTTCCTATTAGCATCACCACGCCCTCCTCAACATTTTTTCTGGAGACAGAAAATGAATCATGAGTAATACATGCTCAAATACATATAGAGAGGGAAAGAGAAGGAATTTTGTGTTCTTTGGCTAAAGGGGAAAAAAGAAGGATAGCAGAGAATACTGATTCCTTACCAAATATTGTTAAGAAAAACACTTATTAACACTGAACAGACAGACTATTTGAATCCCTGATGCACCACACCAAAATCTCCCATTTTCTACAGCCTAAGCCAATATAACCTGCTGAGACTCATATAGGGTGAGGT